GGCGGCGGCGGTGGCGGCGGCGGCGGCGGCGGCGGCGGCGGCGGCGGCTCAGGGGCGCGGGGCGGAGGCGGCGGGCGGCCGGGGCGCGCGCAGGGAGCTGCGCCGCATTTTGGAGAAGTATTTATAATGCAGCGGCGCCGGTGCAGTCGCGGCGCCCGGGGTCCCGCAGGGTCCTAGCGTCCACTGCATTGGCTGCCGAGGGTCACCATGTGATCTCGCGGGTGGGAGCAGACGCCGCCTCCGCGCCCGCCCGATGGCACACTTGGGCGCTGCGCGGCGGCCGGGTGCGGGCGGCCGGCGGGAGAGCGCCTGGGTGGGGGTGGCGCGGGCAGCCCGGGGCACGACGGAGCGGCCGAGCCCCGCGAGGTGGCCAGGGACGAGCGCGAGCGCGAACCGGGTCCCCGGCCCGGAGGGGGCGCTCCGTGGGGGCTCCCGGCAGGGCGCCTCCCGCCGGGCCCTTGCACCCCCGCACCTCCACCCTTCAGCGCGGGCCTGGGATCATCGGGTCCTGGGGCCGCGCCGCTGCAGTCCGCGGCGCCGCGTCCTCCTTCTCTCCGGCCGGCCGCCGGGCGCAGTCACCGAACCAGCTCCAGCTCCAGCTCCCTCCCCTTTGTCTGAACGCGACGCCGGCCCCGGGCCCCGGGGAGGGGCGTCGCGGCTTCCCCGGCCTGACGGCCCTAGGAACCTGCGCCCGGGGCCACACGGGCTGGACGCGCGGGTACGCAGTCGCAGCGGAATGTGATGCCTAGTTCGCCCGCAGCCCCCCGCGTCCGGGCGCAGCACAGCAACCTTCTGCTCCGACACCGAATTCCGGCATCGGACACGGGGGGCGCTGGGCCGGTAGGACCCCTCCTGGCTCGCCCCCCCCGCCGCCCTCCTCGGCCCGCGCATGCGCTCCACGATCTCGGTGCAGGTGCGGGGGGCGGGGGCGGGGGGATGCTCTTGCTGAGTCTTGCGGGTCCCTGCGAGCCTACCTGCCTACTGACGCTGCGGGCCGGGGACGGGGTGTGAGCGTGAGGGTGAGGGTAGGGGACAGGTAATCCCAGATCCCTCCCCTAACACTTTATGAACCCAGCCCCCTGCCGCTATGCACCCCTTCCCCGCATCGCCCCACATCGCCCCGCATCTCCCCGCATTCCCCGCGGTGACCTCTCAGGGCAGCCTGGAGCTGAGTTCATCGGCTTGGCTGGAGTTGAGACCTAGGGGACCAGGCCTAACGACCCTCTGCCTGCCTGGAGCCCAGAGAGGCAGCTACCATCACTTAGAGGCTAGGATGAGGATGATCCCTCGCCACCGTCACACCAAGGGACCCGGGCAGAGTAGGGAGGACGCCGGACCCAGGAGCTGGACTAGTCCACAGCCAGGATCGCCAGTGCAAGGACCATGGTGGGAGGGGGCCGCCAAATTGGGAAGTCACCCCACGCTGTATTTCCCAGATGCCAGGATTTGTCTGGGGCCTGGCTGTCATCTTCCAGGAGAGGAAAGTGAAATCACGGAGAATCTCAAAGGAGCATACAGATCCATTCAGAAATCACTCCGCGTGCTGCCTGAACGCTGAAGGGAGCCTGACCAGCCATGGCGGAACGGCTACCGGGGTCCTGAGGTTGACCAGGTGGAGAGCAGACGAGTCCCAGCAAAGCCAACAGCAGGCAGGGGGTCCAGGCAGGAAAAACAAGTTATGGGGAGGGGTGGCTCCAGTGCCTGGAGGAGTCAAGGGGCTTCAGACAAAGGGGAGATAGGGCTTTGGATGTGGGCCTTGAGCACCAGATCAGGGATTCTGAAACACTGTGCTTTTCTGTGATGGGGGCCAGAAGGAGGGAGGACCAGGTGGAGGATCTAGGAGCTCCTGGGCAGTGTCCTGATCCCTGACCTCTGACCCAGGCATGGTGTGAAGAGGCTGCTCCCTGCAGAGTGGCCCTGCCCCTAGAGGGCCACAGCCTCTGCTGGAGACCATCCGACCCACCCACCCCCAGACCCTGAGCTCGAGGCTAAGCCCCCTCTGGCCCCCAACAGTCAAGCACATAGGTGGAGGGCAAGACCTGCATTTCCACTCAGCCTGACTTTGGTGGGTCTTCCATCTGCAGAGGTCCCTTCCTCCGGGTGGCCTGACCTCATCTTCAGCCCTAAGTCCTTGAACCCCCTGCTCCCCAAGATAGCTTGGCTAGCCTAGCACTGCAGCATCCTGGTCTAGAGGGCCCTGGAGAGTACCCGGAGGAAATGGGGAGAAGTCAGCCAGACTCAGCTTGGAAGGGACAGAGCTGGACCCCAGGGACAGCCACCTGGAAGATGTTGGTGACCTCACAGCCTCCGCTTTAGAGCTCTGAGTGGAGGTGACCTTAAAGGGAAGAGAAGTCTGCCCAGGCAGCAGGCTCCCAGGCCCACCACTGAGCCTGTTCCCTCCCTGGTGACATGAAAGCCATGTCCCCTCCCCTGCACTGCACTCTCTGCCAGCATCAGGAACCCATTTCACAGACAAGGAAACTGAAGCTGGGCTGGTCTGTTCTCTGGGTCCGGTCTCGCATGCATTCCTCTGGCTTCTGCTGCTCAGGGTCCACACCCTAGTCACCTGGGCAGCCCCAACCACCTGCAGTTCTACCCCACACCCCCGCAGTCTGGGCTGGGTACCAGGCTTGGAGCTAGGCCTGGGCCCATGGCAGCGGGGCGGGTGTACCAGACCAGACCCCTCCCAGACGCCAAAGGTCAAGTAGGCTGGGAGCCCTGGGCCTCCCCTGCTCGGTGCTAGCGGTGGATGCCAAAGACAGGATGGCGCGTTAGTGGAAAAGCCCTCATCCCAGGTGAAGAAGGGACCCACGGGATATCCCAGGGCAGACCTATAAGGTCTCCTCCGAGGACCCTGCGAGGGCCAGCCTGTCCCCTCCGGGGAAGAACTGGGGACTGAGACCCAAACTTCATCAGTGGTCCAAAGTACAGGGGGCCTGGGAAGCAACAGAGGTGGGTGGGAGCACTGGAGGAAGACCAAGGGGTCTCCAGAGAAGTGAACCAAAATACCAGGGGGTGGGAAGAAAAAAGAAAAACAGACCAGATGGGAGGCCCAGTGTGCAACTGACAGCAGCTGTCCAAAGAGAAAAGAGAAGGGAACAACCATAATATAATAAAGATTATTGTTTTAGGCTAAGGACCCGAGACTCCTGATTAAAGCCTGTCTACCTTCAGTCCTGAGAGTGTCCTGGGGGTGGGAGGGAAAGGCTCCTGACAGGCACCAGCCACCAGCAGCTGGTGGACCCAAACTGCTCAATCTTCTCACCCAGAGCCCATGACCAAGCCCTCATTCCTCCCTTCCACACAGGCTCAGTGAGTGCCCACCCTCTATCTGGGCCCTGAAAAGAACAAAGGTCTGTCCTCCTGAGGCTTTCCAATCCAGCAGGGAAGGGGCCAGAAATAAATAAAGGAGATCAAAGCTCTAGTATCCCTTGGGGACAAATAAACAAACAAAGCAAGGTAGGATAAGGAACTAAAGAGTGAGGTGGGTCATGGAGGAGGCCAAGTGAGTAAATCCTTGGAGAGATGACAGCCTGTGCAAAGGCCCGGAAGTAGGAGGGGATATGAATTTAACATGCCAGCAAAAGATATTTTCAGACAGGCCAGCTCAGAAAGTTTACACACCACTGGGTTTTCTAGAAAGATACCGAGGACAAGCAACATGAAAGAATGACAAGAGGTCTAGGAAGAAGTGACTCTAAGCCAGAAGAGTGAAAGGGGCAGTGGGGAGTATGGAGTACCCAACTTGCGGGGAGCAGCAGGGCCAGGGCCTGGCAGGAGGCATTGAGGTGACTTGAAGGTAAGGATGTGATAAAGGCAGACAGTGTGGGAACATTAAGGCAAACATCAAGTCCAGAAAAAACTAAAGCTCTCCTAAAGATAATGCATTCCCAATTCACTGCTTAGCTCCCCTCCCACAATTAACATTGTTCTTAAGGTCAACAATGACCAGTGCTGCCAAACTTAGTGGTCCAGGCTTGGCCCTTCTTGACCTCAGCAGCGTGTGGCATGATGACCCCTCCTTCCTAACCAAAGCCCTCACCTGCCTCAGCTCTCTTCATGCCTGGCAGCTGCCCCCTCTCCTCTAGGGACCCCTCCTCTCTGCCCTCTTAGTGCTCACCTCCACTCTGTCCCATACCCAGGACGCAAGGGTCTCAGCCAGCACTTGTGTTCCTAAATTTCTCTCTCTGGCCCCTTTTCCACACATATCTGTCCAGTTGCTTTCCAGACCTCTCTGCTCAAGGGCCTAGGGCTGGCCTCAACACTAGCACGGCCAGGTACGCCAGGCTCCGGGCTCCTCCACCAGCCACTGCAGGCTCTGTCTGGGGAGCTTGTGCTCCTACTTCCCCACAAAGAGTATTCCTATGAGAGGCTTTCTGAAACAAGCCCTTGGCCGTCCCTGTTCTTCAGAGTAATAGAAACCCCATTTTGTGCCAGGCCTCATGGCTGCCCTTAAAATACAGGGTGCCCAGATAAGTTTAAATTTTGAATAAGTGAATAATTTTTAGTACAAATATCCTAAATACTGGTGGGACATACTTATACTAATGAGTACTTACACCAGAAGTACTTGTACTTTTTATTTATTTTTATTTTTTTAAAAGATTTTATTTATTTATTTGACAGAGATCTCAAGTAGGCAGAGAAGTAGGCAGAGAGAGAGGGGGAAGCCGACTTCCCGCTGAGCACAGAGTCCGATGTGGGGCTCGATTCCAGGACCCAGAGATCATGACGTAAGCCAAAGGCAGAGGCTTAACCCACTGAGCCACCCAGGCGCCCCAATACTTGTACTTTTGATAGGGGTAAGTATTCATTGGTCCTAGATCTGCATTTGCTAAATTGAACAACCCAGGCAGAGAACGCGGTCCAGCCCCACCTCCCCGGCAGCCAGGAACGGCCACGTGACGGAAGCCAACCAATGGAACATCAGCACTGTCGGGGCGGGGCCCGGGAGGGAAGGCACCTGCCCCCGTTCGCCCTCCGCTCCTTTCTGGGGCCCCAGGACCGAATTCTGACCCCTGCCATCGCGTACCCCGCTCACTTCCAGCACTGAGGGCTGGTGTGAGCTTCACATGGCGTCGGCACTCCCTCGTCTCTCTCTGGCCTGCTTTAGAGTTCACAGGCATCCGCACCGCCAACCTCTAGCTCAACCTCCCACCACGACCAAGGTAGGACTCTGGTTTGTTCCCCGTAGTCCAGACACGCGGAGCGGAAGCTGCATGCCTGGCGCCTCTAGGCAGAAAAGCCCAGAAGACAGGACGGGTCCCAGGGTGGGAGCAAGGGCAGGGCAGGTGCTGTGGGGCTGAGGCCTGGAGGAAGTCTCTGGGTAAATGTGCGTGAGCCGGGGGTGGGCGATCCTCCTCTGCTGCAAGAGCAGCAGGAGCGCCCTGCTGCAGGGAACACTCCAGAAAGGCCAAGTGTCCCACAGCTGTCATGTCCAGCCATGGCCCCGCCATGCTCCTGGAGGCTGCAAAGCATTGCTTGGATACTACAAAACATTGATGGAAGGAATGGAGGGTCGGAGGGAGGGTTACCTGACTCCCCTGGAGGCCTCCTGCCCGGTGCTACACACACACCTGTGGATGAGTACGGGCCTGTTACTCACAGATGCAACACTTGTATTTGGGCCCAGATTCTTATTCCCTGGTGCCCAGGGGCTGGGCTGAGGCTGGAGGAGGTCCCCAGCAGGCTGGGTGGAGGCTGTGGGGACCCGGCCAGCCCTCCCTTCCTGGAGAAGCCTTCCCTGGCTGCCGGCTCCTCCTGACTCTCCAGGCAGCCACTGCGGGCCAGGAGACATGGGGGTCCAGGTCAGAGCCTGAAGGGAGCTCCCCCTACAGCCATCCCCAACGCAGTGCAGAGGAGCCTGAGTCAGGGGAGAGCTCAGCACTGACACAGCTGTTCCAGGGGCAAAGCCAGCTTCTCTGCTCTCCTGGCATCAAAGGAGAGGCAGGCAAGCGAGCAGGTGTCTGAAGGCAGACCTCCAGGGGCCACACAGTGCCAGCGGCTATAGGTCCTCATGCAGGGCTAGACATGCGTATCTGCTTAGCATCCGCACTGGTGTGGCTCCCACAGAACTGCTGGGGAAACCAAGTCCCACACCAGGAACCCCCAGGGGCGACGCAGATAGGCTCTGGTGGCCAGAACAGGGAGACAGGACACAGCATGTGGGGCCCGTGTTTATTGATGGGGGAATAGTGGCGGGTGAGGGGCCTCAGCGGCCAGCAGGCCAGCAGGCACAGAGGGCCCGGCGCTCGGCCTGCAGCAGGAGGGCCTCGGTCTGCAAAGCAATAGGGGCAGTGAGGGCAAGGCACTCCATCTGCCAGCTCCTGAGGGCACGTCATCTCCAGGTGGTACTGGCCGTACCCTCTCCACCTGTTCCTGAAACCTCAGAACCCCCCAAACACCCTGATGGTCAGACCCTCTGCTACCCTGGGGGCCTCTTCTCCTCCCCACGCTCTTCCTCTAGACTCTCTGTGGTTTCTGCTGGCTCAGCTGTCCTGTCCTGGACCCAGTACATGCTCATCCCCAGCCTGGACTACTTCCCAGTGGTTCTCCTTCAACCCATGTGCTGCCTCTCAGGGTCCCCAAACACCATCCCCAAGATGGGCTGGGGCTGCTCCTCTCAGGGCCCCAGACTCAGACTCAATGAGATCCAGATGCTAGAAGCACTCCAGACCTCGATCTGGGCCCTAGGGAGCTGGCCAGGAAAGGGGACCTGGGTAGGGTCTTCCCTCCTTTCCACATCTGGAGATTCTCCTGCATTCCGGAGAGGAGTACCTATCTCTGTCCTAAGTGAAAATTCCCTTGGCTAAGGCACAGTGAGGACGCAGGTGAGGATGGGAGGGCTCCGCGTTCCTCCCAGACTTGGGGGGTGAGCCTCTGAGCACACCCATTCCTCCCCCAGGTGAGGCTGGGGGATGCGGAGTCTCCCAGACCACCGTACCCAAGCTGTCCTTTCTTGCCCAACCCTTCCCACCTTGCACCCCTTTCTCACCCAAGGAAAGTGACCCCTCTATCCGCTGGCCGCTGGGCCTCATTGCCCCCTGTGGGGGGATGCTGAATGAGACTGGCGGTTCCTTCTCAGGTCCTGGCCTTGGGGCAGGGGACACCCTCCCTCCAGGGGGCTGGAAATGCTCATGGGTGAGGCCTGCGCCCAGAATGCCCTTCCGAACACTGGAGCCAGATGAGGACAGGAAGAACATCGGCCAGTGCCACAGGTTGGGTCCTGGCCCCCCACCCCCAGGCATCTGCCTCCCGGCTAGAGGGGCTCACCCTCGAGTCCAGGCTGTAGGCCGTCTTCCGAAGGTCCTGCAGGGCGCGCTGCATAAACTCGAACGCGTGACAGTCCACGCACGGACGGCCTGCGGGGGTGCGCATCAGCGCGGAGGGAACGTCACTAGCTAGCTAGCCCAGCGCCCCCTCCCCCCAGCACCTCCCACCGAAGGGGCGGCCCGGGAGCCCGACTGAGGAAGGGGCGCAGGGTCGGTGCTGGGAACAATAGGGAGGCACGGTGCTCTCGCACGCCCCGGTGGCGTCGGGGCCTCGTGGGGAACCTTCCGTGACGCACGTACTCTGCGCGGGGACCGCGCTCCCGGTGGCGGGCTCGGCGCGGGCCTGGAAACCCAACAGCGCCACGCTCAGCAGCAGCAGCAGCCACGGCGGCAGCGACCTCGGGAGCCTGCACAGCGGCGGGGGGGCCATGGCCGAGCGCAGGGAGCCGGGGCCGCCCTGCAGCGAGCCGCGGGGATCAGTGGTGCCCTCAGCGGGCTTCACCGACCCCCCTAACCCGTCCGCAACCCCCGGGCCCGCGAACCCCTCGCCAATGTTCACGGACCCCTCCCCACGCGGCCCGCACCCCTGCTCCAGGCCCTCGAACCCCTAGCACCCCGCCAACACAGCCCTCGCCGCGGTTCACGGACCCGCTCCCACCCCGCCCGGACCCCCCGGGCCCGTGAACCTCTCGTACCCCTCCCTCACCCCGGTTCAGGGACCCCCCACCCGCCCGCACCCCCCAGGCCTTCGAATCCTTCGCCGTGGTTCACGGATCCCGCAACCCGCCCTTACCTCCCGGGCCCGCGAACCCCGCCCACCCCGCTCACCCCGGACTCCCGAAACCCTCCCACCCCTCCCTCATCCCCCGGGCACGCGAACCCCTCGCACCCCGCCCACCCCGGGCCCCCAAACCCCCCTACGCCGCCCTCATCTCCCGAGCCCGCGAACCCGTCCCACCACGCCCTCACCCTGGTTCACCAGCCCCCCCTACCCCGCCCCATTCCGGGCCCGCGAACCCTCCCATCCTGCCCTCACGGGGGTTCACACACACCCCCACTCCACCCTCACCCCAGTTCAGGGAACCCCGTAACCCGCCCCCCAGGCCCGCGAACGCCCCACCCCGCCCTCACCGCGGTTCAGGGACCCCGCGACAGCAGCGCCGGCTACTCGGAAGACGTGCTGCGTCGACCGCGCACCGCGCATGCGCTCCGACCGGACCCCGCCCGGGTCCCCCATCCGCCGTCGTTGTCATGGGAACCCCAGACTGCTGAAACCACCAGTTTAAAGGGGCCGAGGAAGCTCGGAGACTCCGAGGGCTCAGCCCTGGCGGGGGCTGCACCTCCAACCCCCACCAGGCTCACCGACGTTGGAGTCCGGAGGGCTGCCGGGAGGAGGCGGCGGCTGGGCAGAACCTCCAGAGCCACTGCGGGCGGGAGCAAAGCTGAGGAAGCGGGAAATCGGCTGCTGGCGTCCAGCGGTGCCCAGTCTCGGGGTGACCCTGGGGCCGATCATGAGGGAGGGGCTCTATGCTCGCCAGGGGCCGGGGAGGCTCCCCGCCGGCCGCTAGGGCCCGGTGGGGTCGGGTCGCATTGCTCGGAGGAGATCAGGGCCAGGAGCGAGCCAGACTGTGGGGCGGTGGAAAATCCACCCTCTCTTGGTCCTCACTCCCGCGCGGCCTCGCCCCTGACCCTCAGAATCGGGGAAAAGCCGTCCGTCCGGCCGGGTCCTTCCTCTACATCTCTCGGAGCGTGGACAACTATTTGTCATTCCCCTTTGGCCCCACCTCTCCCAGCCTTGAGGTCCAACCACCTTCCCGGGCTTTGTGACTTCGGAGGGGTCGCTTGGCTTCCCTGTGCACTTTTCTTCCTCGTGAAGGCGCAGGGCTGTTGGAAGCGAAGAGCCTCGCGTGCTCCCCCGAGGCGCTCAAGGCGCACGGGTTTCAGGTTCCCTACCGGCCCCTCTGGAAAGGACGCGCTCCACTTGGCGTCTCCTGGGTCCCTGCAAAGCCCGCCAGCTCCGGGGGGAGGCGCCCCAGGCCCACGTCCCGGCCACGTGCGTGCGGGAGACCCCAGCAGCCCGAGCGGTTCGGGGCAGCGCGGCGCCCCGACGTCCCGCCCCACTGCGCGGGGCTTCGCGTCGGCTGTGGCCCGGGCTGGACGCCGCCTTTCCGACCCAGGGGAGGGGCAGTGCTCGTGACCGCCACTATCTCCTCTTCCCCATAGGGCGGGCTTGGGGGCGGGGGGTTGCTGGGCGGAGGAGACTGCAAGCCGCGATCCCGGACGTGCGCGTTTCCGTGCTCTTCCTCCTGGGGGGGCTCCCGGGGCGGAGCCCCGCGCTGCAGCCTTTCCGACCCCTGGGACCGAAGACGTGTTCGACCTTGGCTTTTCTTTACCTCTCCATCTCACCCTTGTGACATTTGCCGGTCACCCTCACACAGCCTCATCCACGCGCGGAGGGGGACCCAGCCTACCCAGAAGCAAGGCGCCGGTAGACCTCAGGCATTGGGGCTCTGGAGCACGCTCTTCCCGGCCCCTCCGCAGGCTCGTCCAGCGCTCGCGGCTTAGTAGGGAGGGGATGCGGTGCTCTGCGTCCCGGGGTTCCAATAGCGCCGGGGTCCAACCCCTCCAGCCCCGCGGATCCAGGGTCGCGTGCGCTATCCCGCTCTCCCGCACTCCCGGCACCCGGGGGTCTTCTGCTCTTCTTCAGGCCAACCCACGTTCCAGCCTGACCTTGGAGCCCAAGACACCCTCCACCTCCTGCCGCGACCGCGCACGCCTGCCGAGAGGACCGAGGGGCCGCGGGATGTTGGGGCCGGGACCCGGGGCGGCACTCGGAGCTGCGGGGGTCTTGACTGCGGGGATCGCGGAGCTCCCTCTCTCCCCATCCCCCCAGGGCTGCTGTCCGGTCCCCAGAGCACCGGCTTTCCCCTCTCAGTTGGAGCCTCCTCTCCAGGGAAGAGCCTGTGATCTCTTTTTCTTCTCTGGAACTCGGGACCCTGAGACCAAGACCTGAGCGGAGATCAAGAGGCAGCCGCTTGGCCGTCGGAGCCACCAGGCGCCCCTGTGATTTTTTTTAATTTCCGAAGAAAACAAACCCCGTGAGTCCCTAGCCCCCTCCCCGCCTGGGCTGCACCTCTCCCCGTGATCCATTTCCCCCTCCTTTCTCTCTTGAGCCCACTCCTGCCCGGTCTGCGACCTCGGCTACCCTAGCCTGCCCACAGAGTCTTGGGACATCCCCAGGACCCCCGCCCCGGCTCAGCAGCCCCGCAGTCCCCTCCCCGCAGCGCTCCACCTTCGCCTGCACCCCTCAGGTCGCTGCTGGGCGGTCCTTTGCCCCCCCCACTTCATGTTCCCTCCTGACGGTCCGTCCTCCGCGACAGTATACACCCGCGACTGTGTACACCAGCCACCAGCCTCGGGCTTCCCTGTCCAGCTGCTTCCCGAACACCAGCAAGGGGATAACTAGCTGATCTGATCTCACCCCTCCCCTGCCCGCCAAGATCAAACAGCTGTTCTGTCCACAGCTTTCCCTGACTCAGGTCAGAGCAGTCTGTCCCTGCAGAGGTTCACACCAAACCTGCAGCAGCCCTTCTAGAAATCGAGTCTGCTGCACCCCCAGGGCCAACAGATCCTCCTCCCCCACCAGCTACTGCCTGGGCTGCTGCCCCTCATCTGGACTCCTGGTGGCCTGGACCCTTCTGGTCCTGTCTTCTGAGGCAGCCAGAACTTTTTCCTACACCTACTTGTTTACACTGCAGCAACATACACACAACATGAAATTTGCTGCTGTGACCTTTTTAAGTGAGCAATCCAGCGGCATCAGGCACGTTCACAATGTTGTGAACAGCTCCCCCACCTCCAGAACTTTCTCCTCTTCCCAAACTGCCCCTAAGAAACACAAGCTCCCCATCTCTCCCCGTCCCCCAACCTGACACCCACTGTCCACATTCTGTCTCTATGATCTGACACCTCTGGGGACTCACAGAAGTGGGGTCACGCAGTGTTTTCCCTTTGTGGCTGCTCATGGCACTGAGCACAGTGTCCTCGGGGTTCATCCCAGTGGGGGCAGGAGTCAGAATGTCCCTTCTGTTTAAGGCTGGAGAATGTTCCACTGCACAGATGGGCCCCACTTATCTGTAGGGGGACACTCGGGCCACTCTGCTGGAAGTAATGCTGCCACTAAGACAGAAGGATGTCAGACACTCTCTTTCCACTCACCATCTTCCCACATCCTGTCATCCCCCAGGGATAGTCCAAGACTTTCTGTGGCTGAGACCCTGTGAACATGGCAGGGGAGGGGTGCAGATATGTTTTCACATCAGTGTTTTTATTTTCTGCAGATGCATACCCAGGGTGGGATTGCCGGATCACAGGGAAGCTCCATTTTTATTTCCTGAGGAAACTCCCTACTTTTTCCACAGGGCTGCACCCACTTACCTTCCCACCAACAGTGCATAGGGGTCCCTTTTGTCCACATCCTGCCAATACCTGTTGTTTCTTGTCTCTTTGATGAGGGCCATCCTGACGGGGGTGAGGGGACTCCTCTCTGTTGTGGTGTCTCTTCTTGTAAGGACACTAATCCTGTCACATTAGGGCCCCTTCTCTGTGATTTTATTTAACCTTGATTTTTTTTTTTCCATAAAGGGCCCCCTGCTCCAAACGCAGACACACAGGGGGTTAGTGTTGCAATAGACTGGGGGGGGTGCGAACATTCAGTCCATTACACCCCCATCCTCCCAAATCCCTCTACCCTGTCCGACATTTTTAATTCTTATGATTCTCACCTTCTGACTCACTGTGTACTTTATTCAATATGGTGATTTTTCATTGTGTCCAGAGTTCTTTGGCCTTGGGGATATTTGGCAATATCTGGAGACATTTGGGGTTGTCATGGTGCAGGGGGGAGGGGGTACTGGATCTACTGGGACGAGGTCAAGGGCACTGCCAGACATCCCCCAATGCTGGTTCCCTGCTGTGTCTGCAGCATCTAGAACTGCAGGGCCTTTAAAAGATGCCAGGAGTGCCAGGGACCCAGGGCTGGGGACAGGAAACTAGCCTAGGCAGGAGAAGGGAAGTGCCAGCCACATGCCAAGCCTGTGTGAGACCTTCTCAGTCAGAGCTTGGACAAAGGGGCACATGAGCAGGGGGGCCATCGCGGCCAGTGGGGGACTGGGGGCAGATGGCGGGAGAGACAGAACTTCCTGGGTGACCCAGTATGGTCAGACTCCCTGGGAAGTAGGAGCTGTGGCCCTGTGGAAAGTCGCCTTGAGAGATGAGGGAGGGAAGGGGTGCAGGGAAAACCCTTGGGGGGGGGAAATCATGTCAAAAATTGTGCATTAGACACATTGGCTCTACAGGCCTGGCTTCAGAACTTGCACAGGCTGGAGATTGAACGTGGGCGTAGTCAGCGCAAGAATGGCCTTTACTGTGAGACCAGGAAGCTGTGGAAATGAATTTTTTTCATTTAAATTCAATTAATTAACATACAATGTATTACTGGTTTCAGAGGTAGAGGTCAGTGATTCATTAGTCTTACATAACACTCAGTGCTCACTATGTCTTGTGCCCTCCTTAATCCCCATCACCCAGTTACCCCATACCCCACTTCCCTCCCCCCAGCAACCCTCGGTTTATTTCCTATGATTAAGAGTCTCTTATGGTTTGTCATCCTCCCTGGTTTTGTCTTGTTTTATTTTATTCTCTCTTCCCCATGATCCTCTGTTTTGTTTCTTAAATTCCACATATGACTGAGATCATATGGTAATTGTCTTGCTCTGATTGACTTATTTCACTTAGCATAATAGCCTCTAGTTCCATCCACGTTGTTGCAAATGGCAAGATTTCGTCTTTTTGATGGCTGCGCAATATTCCACTGTAGCTATCCCGCACATCTTCTTTATCCATTCATCTGTCAATGGACATCTGGGCTCTTTCCATAGTTTGGCTATCGTGGACATTGCTGCTGTAAACATTGGGATGCACATGCCCCTTTGGATCACTCTGCATTTGTATCTTTGGGGTAAATACTCAGTAGTGCAATCACTGGGTCATAGGGTAGCTCTGTTTTCAACTTTTTGAGGAACCTCCATGCTGTTTTCCAGACTGGCTATACCAGCTTACATTATCACCAACAGTGTAGGAGGGTTCCCCTTTCTCCGCATCCTCGCCAGCATCTGTCATTTCCTGACTTGTTAATTTTAGCCATTCTGACTGGTGTGAGGTAGTATCTCATTGTGGTTTTTATTTGTATTTCCCTGATGCCGAGTGATGTTGAGCATTTTTTCATGTGTCTGTTGGCCATTTGGATGTCTTCTATGGAGAAATGTCTGTTCATGTCCT